CTGCTCTAAAAGTAAGATCAAAACATTCATTTAGATCAACTGACGAATAGACAACTTGTTATAAAGCGTCAAAGAATTGAGGTGGTGAAGCAGCCGCTCGTCGTGTCGGCCGCGGAACATTTTCCAGGATATGCCCTGGGAATAGCATCATATCTCCCAGGGCTGCCCTGGGTTCTGGGCGCGCTACCCTGGGTTCTGGAAGCGGCCGACCAAATCCCAGGGCAACTCCTGGGAAAAATTAGACATTTCCAGGAGATCTCCTGGGACTCTTCCAACTCCCCTGGGAAACGGAAAAAACTCCTGGGATTCCCAGGGCTTGTTTTTACCGTGCTTTAGCCCCCTAAGTGTACGAATGGAATGTCGCTCATCTGCAGGTGAGCGACATTCACACACTTGCATTTCCAGTGTAAGCACGTCTTGGTCGATCTTAGTCTCAGTTGTCAAACCTATGGCTAACCACTTTCGTAGTCAGTCCTAGTACAAGCGATCGCAAGCACAACACCGCGCGATCGTCCTCGTCTTCCCGTTTCAAAATTCCAAACGCATTCGGTATAAAAGGCCGGAAGCCGGAGTGAGCTGGTCCAGGGAGTGCGGTGAGGTTGGAAGTGGAAGCCAAGGGGTAGGAATGGCGAGGGGGGAGGGAGGTTGGGGAGGGGGAGCGCAGAACCTCGCGTCAACTGGGTGTGCAACGCGCGGACCAGCCGCGCCCCGCCCCGCCCCGCCGCGCCACGCCGCCCCGCCCGTCGCGGAAAGCACTGGCTCACGTTTCTCTCATTGTGGTCGGTCTGCTCCTGCATGCTTGGCTTGTGTGAACCTCGGGAGGGCAACCCTTTTACTCCCCCCCCCTCTCTCTCTCCCTCTCGTTTACTCTCCCTCTCTCGCCCGTCTCTCCTCTCCCTCTCTCCTCCTTTGGCGGGTTGCTGCGTCCGAGCCACCCCCTGGGCTGCTGCTGCTGCTTCACACTCTGACCCACCCCACCACGCCCCGCCACGTCCCGCCACACCACACCACTTCACAAGGGAACAAGAAACGAGGCAGGCCTTCCTGTTGCACCATTCTCTGACACCGTGAGGCGTGAAGCTGCGACAGAGGTGTTAGAGTACTCTCCGCGTCGGCCCGGCCCTGGGGGCCAGCGCCGAGCCGCCCACACCGTCAACATTCTGGGGAAACAGTGATACCACTGGACGATGGTGAAGCAAAGGTATTACGGGCGGAACGTCTTCGTAAATGCATTAAAACTGCCCTAGACACTAAAGGTTTGGTTTATTTTGTCGTTTTTGTGCCTCTACAAAGGCTTTAAACTCAAAATTTTCTTAAGCATCCTGCCTGCAACGGTTCGACTTCCGCTGATCAGACATTGTAAGCTTACCGAAGCTTACTTTCTTTGATTGCATACGATCCTGTGAACCTTGTGCCTACTTTACAGAAACGAATGTAGTATCGAACATCTGGCCACGGTGGTACAGTGGCTGCATATATGCCTCAACCGCGTCGTTGTGCCCTCCTAATTTTTTCTCTTTTTCAATTTCCAATTCCGACGACCACAGTGGTCTATCGCTGCAGCTCACGCGTCACGCGCGCACGAACTGCTCCTTCGTTGCGTCTGCCAAAGGGCCAAAAAAGTTGCAGTATTTTTTATTTATTTTTTTGCAATCTGTCGAAATGTTTGCAAACTGTGTTCTCATTGCAAGGAAATTAGTTTGTACAGCTTGCAACCAGTTCGTATTTTACAATGTTTCTAAGTTGCTTTGCCAGCTTTACAGAAAATCGTTTGCAACAGCCCATTCTTCGCAAGCATTTTGCACTTTTGGACCTACCCCATGTTAACGATGCTCACGTTGCTACACGCCACCGACCTCCCGCTCCCATTACAGTTGCGTTAGCGGCGGAATTATTGCCGAGCTGCGATCAGTAGTAGTAGTGTGTCTGCGGGCAGGGCAGGGCACGCGTCACCGTGGCGAGTGAGTGGCATGGCGCCCTCACTCCACCACCACCAGGACTTCGATATACAGCCCCAGCCCCGAGGGGCCCAAATCGCTCTCCGCGCGCGGGCCTTGTGGGTGCTCCACTTATTGAACGGGCTGTTTTCTGACTCTGCGCGCGCGCGCGCGTGTGTGTGTGCAACCGCACCAAATGACGGTACGGTACTTTGGGACCGTGGCCAAGGTACGTGATACGCGCTCCAAAATAATGTACAATGTAGTTCCATCAAGCAAGTGCCTCTTAAGAAGACAGCTCATAAAAACATTACAACAAAAACGAAAAATATATAAAGTATAACAGGTAGGTACTTTCTTTCCCACTGTACGTCTCACTGCAAAATGCTTGCAAAGAATAGGTTCGTATTGCAAACTATTTTCTTTGCAGCTTGCAAAGAATTTTCAAGCATCGTAATACGAACTAGTTCTTCGCAAGCTTACAAACTATTTCTTTGCAATGCAAACATATTGTTTGCAAGTATTCTGCCAGCTTGCAAAGAACTTCTTTGCAATACGAACTAATTCTTTGCAATACAATGCTCACAAATTCTTTGCAACGTTGCGAAGAATAAAGTTTGCAAGCATTTTACAGTGCTATGATTCAAAAGGCTTATTGAATCCAATTGCTGGACGGCCGTTCATTTCGATACAATAATTCTTTTTGAGAACAAATCTTTTTCGCCCACGCCTCATATTGCCAACCGCCTTTTGCTCTCGCTGTCAATCCCGGCGCGCGGAGTTGAGTGGCCGCGGCGTGGTGACCCCAGTGTAATTAGATGCATCACTGACAGCTGCGGACACACCACTCCCATTCATTCAAGGCTGCTGCGGGGCTTGCAGCGGCAGCTGCTCAAAGTGCGCCGTCGCACACACACACACACACGGGCCGGAGGGATATTTTCATATACCTTATAGACTCCCCGCCGAGACATGATGCCGGCAAGGCAGGCTACATGTGCTTGCAATTGACGTGAAGTGTGCATGTGCTATACTGCGCGAATTTTCTCGTGTCGAGCAAAATATGTTTCATACTTTCGAATATTCATAGTGGTTTCCCCATAAAATGGCAAATTTCTACAAAAAGTCAGCAGCCCCCCCATTATTTCAGGAGTTGTCGCAACGTGTCCGTTTGGGCTGCTTTTAAATTCCTCACGTGTCGGCCCGGGCCCATAGCCATAGCGACAGGG